TTCAATGTATACAAATGATGATACCGTGTTGTATGTAGCATCAAAAATTAGCACACACACAAACAGTGTAATAATTATAAAATATTAATATATATATATATTCAATATATGTTAACCTAATTTAATCGTTAACAATTATATTCTTATCAATTATATACATTTTCAATATATACAATACATTTCTTTTCTATTTTCTTTTTCCCTCATCTATCATCGTCACATTATTATACTAAATTCAAACGATAAAATATAATAAAGAGATCTAATAAATATTATAACAAAACAAAGAGATTATAAGAAAGGTAGAAATGATAGTAAAAAGGAGTCTTTGAAATAATCGGTAAGAATTAAGTATACGAAAAGTATACATAACGAAAAGTATACTAAAACGTCGTCGTTGTCGTCGTCGGTATTTGACCAGTGCTCATTATCGTTGCATTTTAAATTTCTCCCCTTTTTTTTGTTTTTTTTTTTCTTTTTTCTTCTCTCTCTCTCTTCTTATAACAGATTCTACAAGCTGGTTTTCTAGCGTTCATTGAAAGAAAGAAAAAAGAAAGAAAGAAACTATAGTCGTCTAGCGTATACACTCGACTTACAATTAAAAACGAAGAATTATGAAAGAGAAAGAGAAAGAACGAAAGAAAAAGAAAATAGAATAGAGAGAGAAAGAAAAAGTAAATTTTTACACTTGGAGTTGGTGAAGCTAGATTTTGAAAAGTAAATGAACACTGGCAAGTGGAAATTTTTCTTTCTATCATTTTGAACTCACAAACACGAGGACACTATGACGAAAGTTGAGTTCGTCTAGTGTCGTAACAGCAACTCTGACGGCATCCGTTGTAAATGAAAAAATGTGTCTAGGGGAAAAAAAAGAGAGATAGTAGGGAAAAGAAAGTTGAGAAGAAGGAAGCGTGAAATGTATCTTTTCTCGCACGGCTAGACGAATTTAAAAAGGAAGGATCTTTTCTAGAATTCTTTTCGTACCTTCTAATTAAATATATTTTATCAACGTTGACGATGTTTCCTTCTTTTTCTCTATAATATATGTTTCTTTCTTCCTTTCTTTTATATATATATATACGTATGTATAGGATTTTTATTAAAAATAAAAATAAAGAAAAAGAAACCATGTCGTTTGAGAAATAATTGGAAAAAGGAACATATTATAATTCTTCATTTTCTTAACAAATGACACTGTACTTTTATTCAAAAATAAAATAATAGAATAAGAAAGAAAGACAGATTAAATAATAATGTTATGGTGCTTTTTTTTTTTTTTTGCTTTGATTTTATATTATGACATGTTATATAATTATTTTAAGTAAAATGATTTCTTATTTTGTTTTTTAATTATATTTATATTTAAAATAATTGTTATATTATACGTTTGATATTTTTTACTTAATTTAATCGTATCATTGTTCCTAAAACATTTGATTATTATTAGAACAACGTATGAATATGAAAACAATATAAAAGTATGTGTGCCTGCATGAAATAAAATTTAAATAATATTACGAGTATTAAAATAATGAAATAATAATCGCGTAATGTTACAAGAATTAATATATATAAATAATATATATATATGTGTGTAAAACATTATTATATTTATTTATTGAAATATTTATTGAAATTTCGTATGGTAAGAAAAAAGGAAAAAAAAAAAATAATAATAATAAATTGGAAAAATATTGAACATTGAAAAATACTTTACGATCGTATTGCATTAGATTCCCATAGATTTTCAGTTGTCAGTTAAAGAATCGACGAATGGTATATTCTATCTGCAGATGAATATTAGTGTCAGTGAATGCTTATATAGTCAGACAGAGTCAGCTGATCGATATACGCGATGAGAAATTGATGCTTCCGTGAAAGAAACTCGCTTTGCGATATATATTCATTTATTTCTAAACTGAAAGTAGCATTGAGAAAAACGATAGACATATAACTATTTTTCATGAGTTTCCTTCAGCCAAATGTTATATAACATTTATCTTAATATTTCACGGGGGACTACTCTTCTCACCCATCGATTTTATAAACTCCCTTAACTCTTGTTGAAAAAAATAAACTTCAACTAATATTTTTTCTATAATCCATTTCGAAAATCCAGATGCACAAATGGGAGTATTCAAATATGTGTATAAAATAAATAAAAAAAGAATTAAATTATATATATATATGTATTGTAGTTTAATACAAACACAAGAGAGAAAATCTAATCCATTTTTTAATCAAAAATAAACCAATGGAATAATACTTCAATTTAATATACATACAATAAACTGTATGTATGTTATAATAATAATAATAATATATAAATGAATATATGTAACATATTATTACGAATCATAAACGTTAACGTGAATAATCTCCCATATGAATAATTAAACGTTTACTCGATTCTCTACTTTACGGGAAAACATATTCGATTCGTGTTCAATACGATATTTAATTAATTAAATATAATTATTATAAACACACACACATATATTTCAAATATACAATATAAATCTTATTTTTTTTTAACATTTCCTTTTTCTATAATACCATTCTCAGTTATATAAGATTAAAATATTACAAATAACACAAAACCAAAACAAAAATAAACAAACAAATCAAAATCAGAATGATGGTGATAATAAATTTAAAAAAAAAAGACAATGATCATTAGACGACACATGGTGGCCATTTCCTGTAGAACTAAAACCACCAAAATTTCGAGGTTTGCCATGATGAGTATAAGAAGTATAGAAAACTACAACAGGGGTAGAGGGGTGAAGAAGAAAAGGGGGAATACTCGGATTATAGCCAATAGCAACGAACGAATAAATGACTGAGACAGAAATATATATATGAGTATGTGTGTGTAGGTATATAAAAATAGAGAAAAAAGAGAGAGAGCGAAGGAAGATGTACATGGTGCCGGAAACACAACGGCAGCCATTTTTCACGGTGCGGACATCCGCTTCCGGTCCATGGTCACCACGAAATACGAACAAAAATGACGGTGGATGTATGTGACTCGGTATATAACGGTAGTAGTAAAAAGAGTTGGAAAATATATGTATATAAAAAGAGAGAGAGAGAGATAGATAGAATGAGGGGGTGTTTTAAAGGGAAGTAGAAAGAAATAGAAAAAAGAAACCTCAAAAACTAGGAGACGGTGACCCGTTGTCTGTGTTTCGTTTTATATTTTTTTTTTTAATTCCTATCGTTATATATCTTTTTCTTTCTGTCTTTATCTATCCATCATCGTATTTATCTTTTTCTATGTTTCATTTTTTCACAACAACAAAATCTTTCCCCTATATCACCTATCTATGTCTTTCTTTTTTTTCTATATTTGATTACACGAATTTTGATTTCCAATTTTTGTCTAGCATACTTCCAATTTAACGTAAGAAAAAATTTATTAATAGATAAATATAATTTTATAGGACGTGTAATAAAGTTTAACGTGAAGATAATTATAGTTTGTTGAGATAATAAAATGAATAAGAAGTTTTATTGAATTTTCTATTTATTTTTTTTTTATTTCTTGTCGATGAAGATAATTCGAATTATTAATTGGATAAATATATTATTATTATATATTG